TTTACATAAAAGGACGGTATTACCCAAGGTTCACATCAAAAACAATACTACACAGTTTATATGAAAGCCAACATCCCCGCCCCCGTGAATCTACCCAGATTCACCAACTTCTAATTTGGCTAGGATACAGGCCGGGCGTTTGATTATACCGGTCGACGTTCGTATTTCCGCTGCTCTTACTTGGCCATCCTTCCCAGGAAACACTTTGGTAATGCGACCCAAGGGCCACATTGAACGATGGGTATTCTGGTCGCATACGAGAACAAGGTTATCGACTTCCAGTGGTTTTACGGGTTGATGCCATTTCGGTCTGCGCGTAAAGTCAGGAAGATATTCCGTCATCCACTTCCTCCAGAACCGTTGCTGCATTTGCTGCACTCTATGCCACTGCTTCCGGGTAGCTCGATGTTTTTCATCATGAGGGTGCGGTGTCTGCTCAGTATTTGGGGTACCTATGAGAAAGTGATTCGGGGTTAGTGGTTCAACAGTGGGACTATCAAGGGGAATGTGAGTCAGTGGCCTCGAGTTCACAATATTTTCAGCTTCGCACATGAGACTGTATAGCGTGTGCTCCTGTAGATTTTCATTATAGAGCGGGTGACCAATGCCTCTCTTCACACTGCGAACTAGACGCTTCTAACACCCACCAGCATGGGGATTTAGAGGACAGTTGAAGATCCATTCGATATTTTTGGTCGAAAGTGCATCAGAAATTTTATCATTGTCGAACTGTATGCGTTGCCATTTTAGTTCATTATCTGCACCAACGAAATTCGTTGCATTATTCGTGCGTATTCGAATAGGTATTCCTCGTCCATTCATAAAGTTACGGATGCACATTAAGCAGCTGTCTGTGGAAAGATCTTTGGCGACCTCCAAGTGGATGGCGCGTATTGTCAGGCACGTGAAAAGTGCAATCCATCGCTTCTCACTACGTCGCCCTATGACTATTTTGAACGGTCCCATATAATCCAGACCGCATACGAAAAAGGTCTAACAAACGGAGTTAGACGATCCAACGGCAATTGGCCCATCAACGGCGGAGAAGGGGCTGTTCTTGTGTTTTTGCAGACCTGCCACCTTTTTCCAGCACGTCGCACTTCTGTTCTAATTCGTGGTATACAATACTTCCGCCGTATTTCTACTATTAAACTCTCGTTCTGATGCTTCCACAGTCTATGGTAAAAATCGATTACTAGTTGAGTTACGTAGTGTTCTCTCGGTAAGATAACAGGACGTCGTGTATATAGGGGAACTGCTTCAGCCGCATCTATTCGCCCTCCTACTCGCATCAACCCAACACCATCTATATACGGACTAAATGTTAGTAACGCACTGCTCTTCTTTATTGGGTTTCCCTCCCTCAGTGCACCATATTCCTCAGGGAAGGCTTCCATTTGCGTTCTTCGAAATATTACCTCTTCAGCTCGTCTTAGCTCGTTAATGCGTAGGACTCCATAAATATGTCTCACTTAATCTTTTAGGCAATTACCCAGGAACCGGAGGACCCAGGCTACTATTTTTAAGCGAATAAGTGATGAAAATTTTTTAAAAGGTGTAAAAACATTTCTTATTAAAATGGTTGGATATTTGCTGCGTATTTCTAGATCAGTATTATGGCATGTTTCATTCGGAGGCCAATTTGATTCGTCCTGCGTAAGGAATTTCGGGCCACTTATCCAAAACGATTCGCGTTTTACGTTCTTTCGCCGTGTGCCAAAGTCAGCCGGATTTGTCGCACTAGGTAGCCACCTCCATTCGCTAATGCTACTCCCTTCCAGAATTTCATTCACCCTGTGCGCGACATAGGCCTTATAGCGTCTATAATCTGATTTGATCCAAGATATGACCGTCTTCGAATCGCTCCACATGAATACTCTAGCCGGTTTATAATTGTGGTAACTTACTAGGCTTTGCTTGAGACGTGTTGCAAGCACTGCTGACTGTAGCTCCAGCCGTGGCACCGATACCAACTTAAGAGGTGCACATTTAGTTTTCCCCGCAATGAAGCGTTACCTAACTCCGTTGGAATCCTCCAATATGCGACTGCTGCGTAAGCTGCTTCACTTGCATCTGAGAAGAAAGTACCATAGCAACGACGAATGCTTATTTGCGCAAGCTCCTTCAACAGCCGTAACCAACTCTTCCAGCTTTCATACACGCCACATGATATATGTTCATCCCATTCCGTACGCTCACGCCAAATAGCTTGCAGTATTAACTTAGCCTCCAGTGTATAACCGGCTGCTATTCCAAAGGGATCAAATAGTGACATAGTGGTTTTTAGCACCTCGCGTTTCGTTGGCCTTCTATCTCCTTTCAATAGAGCAGGATCCACTTAACCAAACGATAGGACGAACTTGAAGACGTCGTTGTCGGTATCCCAATACATACCGCGTACCTTTTGGAATAAATCCGCATTATCTCTGTCAAGATTAACGATGGATGACATGGTTTCACTTTCGTTCATATTCGTAATGAGTTTGGAATTGGAGGCGAATCCTCGCAATTCGAAACCTCCATTTTTATGAATTTCTACAACTCGTTTAGTTATGTTGAACGCCTCCTTTTCACTAGAGAAACAATGCACAAAGTCGTCGACATAGTGGTTCTCAATTATGGCAGCTACTACTTCGGGAATTGTTTTCTAAAACCTTCCGCGTTTTTAATTTTTACGAATTGTGCTGAACAAGGTGAGCAGGTTGCTCCGAATATCATAACGCTCATCGCATACACCTCCAATGGCTTATCTCTTTGAGTCCTCCAGAGAAAACGCTGCGCTTGCTGATCTTCTTTTCGAATCATCACCTGGTGGAACATTTCGGTGATGTCCGCACATACTCCTACTGGCTTTTGTCTAAACTTCATCAATACAGCTGCTAATGGCTGCGTTAAGTCTGGTCCGCACATTAATACTGAGTTTAAGGACACCGTCTGTACTCTCGCTGCAGCATCGAAGACAATCGCAATTTACCAGGCTTGTTGGGGTTATGTACTCCGAAGTGAGGTAAATACCAAGTGCGATACTCTTCTTCAGCAGCTTCAGTTTTGGTTAGCTTTCGTGAGTAACTCTTTTTTTCGTACTGTGCCATAATTTGAGTGTAAGCGTTCTTCAAGTTGACATCGTTCTCAAACTTTTTTTCTAACATATAAAACCTCTGTTCGGCCATTTTCCGACTATCTGGTAACTCAATGTTTTCGTTTTTCCATAGCAAGCCTGTTTCAAACCGTGACTCGTCAACTCGCTTAGTTGTAGCTTCAAGTATGCGCTTCGCCTTACTGATTTCCGTCGCCTCTGCAACATACTGCACATCCTTTACGTACATGTTTTCGTTTACGATATAGTCGTTCACCAGCCTTTCCATGTCATCCTGATTGTCCCCTATATTCGCGAAAAACGTGTATTGATGGTCCTTGGTCGATTGCATGCCTCTTGCTCCATAAACGACCCATCCTAATTTCGTTAGCACAACTGCATACCCTCGGCTCCCATCATTAGCCGTTCGTTTAGGAATTCCTAAATGCGCGTTGTCTAAACCAATCAGCAACTCGGGCACTGCGTTAGCGTACTGACTAACCGTCAAATTTCGATGTTTGTAATGCAAGTCTGTAAAATTAATTGTTTGTTTTGGCAACTTTAAATTAGATACCGTTCTAACATTTTGCATTAAAAATCTCTTTCGGTTCTTCCCGATACCTGAAATATGCATGTCTACTCGCTGGGAGACTTCTGTTACGGTCGCATTTTAAAACCACTGCAATGTCAACGTTTCGCTTTTTCCTTCTAAGCCGAGACGCCTTGCCAAATCGCAGTTAATCAAGGATATCGCTGAACCCTCATCCAAGAATGCAAACGTTTTAATTTCTTTCCCCTTAGCATATAGTACCACTGGCAGTATTTAAAAATAAGTTTCATCAGTGGACTGAACCCAATTGTGCTCGTAAATACCTGTTGAGACTGCGGCTCTAATTGTTGTTGCTGCTCTGCTTCTTTCTGCAATCCTACTTGCGGTGTCTGTTGCATCGCCTAATTGTTCCGCTGCCAACGATTTCTCTCATGTGTCTCATGAAGCAAACTATGGACTCTACGCGTGCACCCACTATTATTGCATTCATGCTGTTCCGTGCAAGCATTACTACGATGGTGACCCTTTAAACAATTAAAACAAACTTTTTTGCTACGAGCCAACCGCCATCTTTCAACATAATTCATGCCTAAAAACTTATTACACTTGCTGAGCGTATGCTTCTCAGAACAAGCATCACACCTATCGTTTCTGTTACTGCTAGCGTTAGTTTCATTTGCATAAAAAAATCTAGTACGCCCCTCGACCCTATTTGGACGTGGCTCTAAGCTCGAAAACGAACACGCAGTACTCACGATTCTAGAAAGCTCCTGCAACCAAGTGCTAAAATGACAAATAGTTGGCCTTGGAACGATTGATGCTGTATGTCGTGCCCATTCTATTCGTCTTTGCACGGGTAACTTCATCAAAGGCTCTTCCATAAGTGTCGGATTCGAAAGGTGATGGTCACACTCAGCTGCTTGGAGAAATGACGACAAATTTTGAACTTTTGTTGCAAAGGTTATTAGCTGCTCTATCCTGTTCTCAGATATCGGCGCAATGCTTCTTATTCGGCTTATTTGACTTTTCACCAACAACTCAGGCCTTCCAAAACATTCCTGCAGGGTGCTCATAATTTGCGGGACATTTCTACTGTGAATCAACAGACATTCAACAGCTTCGCGAGCCCTTCCTTTTATCGCCCTTTGTAATCGCATCATATTTTGCGGATTGCTATATTGATACTCCGCCGTTGTCATCGCAAACGTTTCTTTAAACATTGGCCAATCTTCCGGACGACCATCAAACTCAGGTAAATCATACAATTTATGTGCTCTCCCCATGCTGGAATTGTGCTGAGAGTGGCCAACTTCGCTGGATGCCGTAGTAATTACACCTATACTTTCCGAATCGACTGTATTCGTTATTTGATTCGCTTCTAACTGAATAACGCTTTGTGGTTGCCTTATACGTTGCATCTCGTCTTGCAAGCTTTTCATCTGCATCATAATTTCGTTTAGCCTCATTTCAATCGTCGACTCCCCTTGCGAATTTCCTGCCGGATGCTCACAAACAGTATTGTTCAGCTCGTCGTTACTATCGCCCTCCCTTTCCTTACTCGTTGTCGAACGTGTAGTAGGCATTTTATTAACAACGAATCAGTGTCGAAGGTCCCAACAAAATGGCTTCGCTCCACGTTTTCAAAAGTTGGACTCACAGTTTTAGGTTATGGTAACGACCCACTACGAACCCTAACGCCAAATCAATAACTCACAGGCACTTACCGAAATCCACCTTGCTTCTACTTCTAACCGATGCTAAACCTCTTATTATTCTCGCTGGGCTATACACAGCCTCGGTAGTCTTAATGCAGCGCACCGCGCGGGGGTCCAGCTAACCCAACATGCAGCTCACTTCCGCCACTTTCCTTGTTACGAAAGTGAAATAAAAAATGTTGATTCCCGATCTGGTGAGGGGGTAAATAAAACACCAGCAATTACGTACAAGTGAAAATGTGGTGATGAGTTTTATTTCCTATAAGGATTTACAAAATTATGTCAGATAAATTACGATAAATTAAATACTCACACTTTCGTGTGTTTCCCTCTATTTCCAGATCGCAAATGGCTTAGTGCTCCTAGATTTCTGTCGCACATCGATAACTAATTGCCATTTATCGATCAGGGATAGGGGTGGTACATTGATAAAAGGTTAACATCGAAATAATATTACACAGGGTTTACATAAAAGGACGGTATTACCCAAGGTTCACATCAAAAACAATATTACACAGTTTATATGAAAGCCAACACTGACGATTTAAAAATTTTTGCTTTGATTGAAAATGCGCATGATGCGCTAAGACTTCAGTCCGGGATTAATATTCTACACCGCTGGTGTCTCAGCTCTCGCCTTTCTCTGAATATTAAAAAATGTTTTCAAGTTACTTTTTCCAAAAGTCACAATATTCTTTCGACGTCTTATGTAATCTCTCAAACTCATTTTCAAAAAGTCCAAGAAATCAAAGACCTTGGTGTAAGTTTCAGCTCTAATTGGTCTTTTAGCAGTCATACCAGTCACATCATTTCTAAATAGAGCTCTAGATACCCGGGTATCGAGCAATGCGAATAGCTCGATACTCGCTCGAAACTCGTTCATTGCTCAACTACTCAAATGTTTGTTCAAAATTGTCGAGTTTTTGAACAATTTCATAAACAAAAGAAAATTTAAATTGTATTTGTCAGCAGCTGCTTTCTATTTCATGTTAAATAAATTATATTATTAAATACCAATGTAACAATCTTTGCATTATATATCAATAATTTGAAAAATTTAAAAAGTTGCTACCAAAGATGTCAATATAATAAAAAAAACATTGCTCAAATTACTCGAATTGCTCGAGCTCATGCTCGAAAATTTTCGAGTAATGAGCATTGAACAAGTGTGCGAGTACTCGCTGCTCATATACCCGGGCTGTTTGAAAATGTGCGAACAAAATCGAGAGCTCTATTTCTAAATCTTACGCTGTACTTGGTTTTCTCAGGCGTCAGAGCTCAATGTTCTCTGACCCCTATACACTTAGATTGTTATACACATATTTTGTTCGTTCTAAGTTAGAATATGGTTCTTTTATCCGGAGGCCATACCACTCAAACCTAATTAATAGGATTGAAAGGGCTCAGAAGGTTTTTCTTAAATTTGCCCTCAGAAATCTTAACTTCAGCGAGCCTATTCCATCGTATAAGTCTGGTTTGCTATTAATAGACCTTAAATCTCTGGAAGCCAGAAGATCTTTGCTATCTCTAACTTTTACCTTTAACTTTATTTATTTATTTTTATTTATTTATTTATTTATTGGAGTCTATGATTAGTATAATCTTACAGACTATAATAACAAAAAAAACTTAATAAACTGTAACATTAAGAATAACATGTACACAAGGTTGTCTTAAATTCTATCCTATTGGCAAAAATGTTTCATTGTACACTTTGCATAAAGCATTAAAATCATTCATTATCCTTATAATTGGTTCATTTAGAGCATAATTAGTCTTACATAGGTCAATCGAAAACATATCATGTTGGCGTAGCATCCTCATTGGAGCATTGAGTTTAATGCGATCTAATAGGGTGGGGCAGTCAATTTCCCCACTCAGAATATCATGCAAAAACATCAGACCCGAAATAGTCCGCCTACTACGTAGAGTTTGCAAGCTAATCAACTTGCAGCGAGATATATATGGTGGAGTAGGATTATCAAACCTAATTTGGGCCAAACCAAATTTTAAAAAACATTTTTGTACACGCTCAATCCTATTATGGTGAACTTCGTAAGAAGGATTCCATATTATAGAGGCATATTCCAGTTTGGACCTGACAAACGCATTATATAAAAGCTTTCTTGTATAGGGGTCCTTGAATTGGGCACTATTTCGCTTAATGAAAGCTAATGACGAGAACGCTTTGGGAATATATATATGATTGATATGTTCGACAAATGTGAACGCTGAATCAAACACGACACCTAGATCCTTAATTTTGGTACTCAACTTCAGGACAACTTTTGAAATAGAGTAAGACGATAGTAAGGGGGAACGAGACTTGCAATAAGTTACAGAAAAACATTTATTTGTATTAAGTGTTAATTTATTACGACAACACCACTCACAAAAATTATTAAGCTCGGCTTGAAGGACACCATATCAGAAGCATTTTCAATTTTTTTAAAAACCTTCAGGTCATCTGCGTATAACAGGTATTCACAATGTTTAAAACAAGCACTGGAATCATTCATAAAGAGAACAAAGAACAAAGGGCCCAAAATACTTCCTTGCGGAACTCCCGAGGTCGCAGTAAAAGGGGAGGAGCTAATCCCATCGACAACAACTTTATTTACTCTATTGCAGAGATAAGACTTTATCTAGGACAGAAAGCTTGAGTGAATACCCAAATGTTTTAACTTATGCAGGAGTAAATTATGTGACATGCGATCAAAAGCTTTAGATATATCAGTGTATATAGTATCAACCTGGTAGCCACCCACAAACGCTGATATACAATAGTTTAAAAAAACGGCTAGGTCAGTCACAGTAGAGCGCCCTGGTACAAACCCATGTTGAGAGGGGGATATTGATTGTTTAATGGCAAATGAAAGTTTACTACTAACAATTTTTTCAAATAATTTCGCAATATTAGGAAGCTTAGAAATGGGCCGATAATTCGAAATGTCACTTTTGTCACCTGCTTTAAAAATCGGAGACACAGAGGTGATTTTCCAATCATCCAAAAAATGACCTGACGCTAGTGATAAGTTAAATAAGAGAAGCAATGGCTCGGAAATAGATGCGATGCATTGCTTAAGAAAATAAGACGAGATGATGAACATCCACTTGTTTGGAGGTCTTTAAGCTTCTTATACCATAAAAAATATCATCTTCCGATAACATCAAAGATCCGAAATCTAACGATGCAGGACTATTATTGTAGGTAGCCTCACCACTCGATGAATAATCATTCACAAAATTTGATTTGAAAAATTCAGCAAACAAATTTTCTGTGTCATTCATTGAGGATGACTTAATAAATGGTGTGATCGATTGCCCTACGCTCCTAGAGCAGGTCAACTTCAATGTTCCTCTAAGGAATCTTCGCAATCCTTTGCCGTTTTATGGAGGAAATTGTAAAACGGAGTATGCCAGGAATGCTCCTATTTCAAGAGCTTTAAACGAATTCAACACGATCTCGGATTCTATCGACCTGGATTTCTCTCTTCCAAAAACTTTATTTATTTTTTCTTTGATCTCGAAGCTGCAGAGTGCTTTATGTTTTACACGTATCGTCTAAGTAGCTAAATTTTTATCTCTAGTCTGTAAGGAACGTCTGTTTCATATGACTGCAATAAATTACAATTACAATTACAATTACAATCTCTGCAAAAGGTGTTCAGCCCCTCTTCTTTAGCAAAACAGAAAGGAGAATTCTACTTAGGGAGGGTTATATTCCCTAAGCGCGGCCGAAGGCCCCCGACGCAGAAAGGTGTTCTCTGCAAAAGGTGTTCAGCCCCTTTTCTTCGGCAAAACAGAAAGGAGAATTCTACTTAGTGAGGGTTATAATCCCTAAGCGCGGCCGAAGGCCTCCTACACAGAAATGTGCTCTCTGCAAAAGGTGTTCAGCCCCTTGGGCAACAGAAAGGAGTAGTGAGGGTTATAATCGTTTTGGAAAAAAATCCAAATTTCCGCTGTTTTCAAACAGCTCCCAATGGGTCTTTAGGAGGGGGAGGGGGGGTGACTTTTCATAAAGCGGCGTCCATCCTCTTCTGTTTAGGGGGGGTTTGGGGAGAAACCGTTCCTCACGCTAGAAAAATGGGTAATAGAGAGCGAATACGTTCCTTTTTTGGTTCGTAAATGTCTTCTTCTTTGTGCACGAAACAGCCCGGACCTTTTTTCCGGGCACAAATGCGCAAAAGGGCAATTTGAAATAACACTTGTTGTTGTTTAAATCCGAAAGCAAATTTTATAAAACACAAAAGTGGAAACTACCACAGAATTTTCAGAAAATGTAGCTATTTGGTAATTTTTTTAGCCATATAAGATACGTACACGTAAAATCATTGCTTAGAGCCGATTTGTTGATTCCGGGCACGAAATGTGGTTTTTCGCGTTCCTCACGCTCTGGGCACTTTTCGGACGAGTTGACACATATTTATTACTTGTGATGAGAGAGTAATAGGGCTTTCGCACGAGGCGATTTTTCAGGTAACTTTTGCGTTCAACTCACGCAGGGTTGCACGAAAAAAAATTGAATGGTTAAAAATATCAAAATATAAAAAAAATCAAGATATTCGCCATAAAAAGGCGTTTACATTGTTGAACTTTGCATTCTACTTTTGGTTGAATGGCCTTTCAACTAATCGCTTTCAATAAAGTTGGTCGCCAGCAAACATTTAGCCATTCAACTTTTTTTTCGTGCAACCCTGCGTGAGTTGAACGCAAAAGTTGATGGCAAAATCGCCCCGTGCAAACACCTTTTAACTTATTTTTATGGCCTGTTTTTGCTTACGCGTAAAAGCACATTTAGCGCATTTAGCTCTAAATGCTACTCTAAATGTACATTTATCCATACAAAATTCGTCACCTAAATGCAACTCCATTTTTGCATTAAGAATCTAAATGCTGAAAGCAACCCTGTGATATTCCAAAATTTCCACGATTCGAACATAGTTTAATGAGCAACATTGCTTTTTCGCGTATACAGTGGCTAGCTACGTTTCAGTGATCGCCGACCAAGATTTCATTTATTATTTTACATTATTTGGATAAAGAAAAGTTACGCAAAGTCAACATCGATGTGATGCTGATAGAAATCTGGATCAATTTGTGATCAACTCTGTTTGTTTTGTTTCCTAATTAAGTGAGGAAATTTTAATTGATAGCAGCGACAAATGAATACATACACAAACAAATTTTTGGTTATGGTTAAAACAATTCAAGTTTTTGTATTGAATTTTTGGTTTAAAATTTATTTTTTCCTTTTCATTCGGGGTTCTTGCACATTATCTTTTCAGTGAGAATTGATCGTAATAGATACGGATCTGAATAAGCGACTGGAACACGGCGATAGCATGAACGCTCTTCGAAAACATATGTTCGAAAGTGCTAAATGTAGCATTTTAAATGCAGCAAAAACGCT